CTTCTTTTTAATAGCCATTCTTTAGCCCAGATGGTCCTGTTTCTAGATTTGTTTTTGGATTTGAGAACAAAAAATGCTGCCAAATCATCCAGGTAGCTTCCTTCAGCCATTGTTGACGTTTTTGACCTAGATCTAGCTACAACAGTCCAAGGACGGATAAAAAAACTGTACGTCTAAACGGAACTTCTCTCGTCGACAAACTGTCAGCTTACCGATGACCGAGATCGAGCGTCCGTCGGTTAAACTGTCTGTTTGTCGATCAACGAACTGTACATCTATGGGGCTTAAGAAAGAGCCAACGAGTAGCAATAGAAATGTTGCAGAAAGAGTCAGGAGCCCATAGGAGGGGGCAAAGGAGGTAAGGGGGTGAGGGGGTGAGGGCAGAAAGTGGAGGCGAAAGCAGACGATAGAACATTGTTCGAGAGCAGGAAAGGAGAACATTTAAGAGAAGGAAATTTTACATCCCTATCCGGATTCGAACCCGGGACCTGTGCTGAGATAAACAGATTAGGAATGTAGTAAACTGACAACGTACAAATTTTTTTTTTGTATATGCCTATCATATTATATGTTTTCAGTTTACAGTTCCATGGCAAAGCTTGAAGTTTAATTTAATGCTGGGGAAGACTTATCTTCTTTGCGAACGTTTCTCTTTACAGTTTGTTTTCTTTGATGAGAGAAGGGGGGAAAGGGTAGTGGTGTGGGGTGGAGGTGGCAGGGGTAAAAAATATAGCTATTATGACGGAAACATACGGTGTGACCCTTGCAAAGGTAAAATAGTGGGTGGGTGGTGGGTGCTCTTGAGTGGTTTGCTCCCCCTTTCCCATCAAACATCTATCGTTCTTATCTCTACTCTTTCTTTTTGTGTTTTTTGCTCTCTCGCAACACCTCTAATCTTCGCCACGTTTATGACCTTACTGTGTTGCAGTGCCGTAACTATAAAGGTAAAAAAACAAACTCAACCTTCAACCTGAAAGTCTCTAATTAGAAGTCCGTGTTTAAGATAATATGAACCAAAGTGTACTATTGGTCTTTTGTCTTTATTCCGTCTCTCCTTTATGGTATTACTACTAATTACTATAGAGCCATTGAAAATTTGCTGTCCCAGATCTGTGCCTAGTGAAAGATGAAAGTCATACGGAACAAATACATTTTCGTTTCAGCGTCCACCATGCCAGACGATTTTTCCCGCCAGTTTGAGGGCCAAGTGGTCATTGTGACCGGGGCAAGTTCAGGTCTTGGGGAAGAGATGGCCCTGGTATTTGCCGAGAGAGGCGCCAAAGTGACCCTGTGTGGCCGGAACGTGGAAAGACTTGAGGCCTCTATGGCCAAGTGTCAGAAAGCAGCGGGAGGCGCTAAAGACAGATTCATCACGGCTATAGGAGACGTCACAGATTCAGAGGTAGGCTACCACTTCTAGTATTGGTTAGGTTTTGTTTTAGTATACTGTTAATGGACTTTTATAAAGAGCAAATTGTAGAACCTAGGTTATACGAAAACACGTCACTCATAAACTGAGGATGCGCATTCTTGTCCCTCGACAGTGCGTGAATTCTTACTGTTTTGTTAGTCACGTCGAGTTTTTCAATTTTATCTTCATTATCTGAAACTTAAAAGGAGGAGGCAACAATCCGCATACAAAGACATATATATGTGAAGCAGCGTGGTGGAATCAGGCTCTCGTCAATTTTTGGGCATGTAGAGTTATTAGGATCATCTTAAAGCTTATTCACTTGTCCTCATTTGGATGAAAAAAATATACATTTATCTTGAATATAAGTCGAGATATTTACGAAAGAAGGCGGTGGGGGTAACCTGTTTTCAAAGGTAAAATTAATGAGAAACTGGCAGAAAAGATTAATTATTTCCTTAGCTTAAGAGTCCGTGGTAACTGAAAATGTACAGTTTTGTGCATTTATTCAACTCTTTTCAGAAAAATCCACACAGAAATGAGTTCTTTAATGGGCATGAAAGGTGTTGAGCCAAAAAACAAAAAATTCACAAACCTGCGGAAAAAATGCAAGCTTCTTCACTTTGATTATTTAGACGAGAGCCTGATTCCACCACGCTGCCTCACAATATCATTCAAATTCGTGCCATTGGTTTGTACATTTGGTTATTCTAAATATGCTTAAAAATTGCCTTGTGTCTGTTGCTGAGAAAAGCAATGATGATGATGACCCAATAAACCCATGACATCAATATTAAATTGGGGAGCAAGTTATTTGCCCCTGCCCCGAAGCACCGAATAGCGGTGTGCGATAGAATAGTAGTCCGTACACGGATTTGTTAAAAAAAGGGGGGGGTGACGTCAGTAGGACTTGTAGGTTCGTGGTAAATAATTATTAGTCACGGCAGCTCAAAGAAGAGGGAATACACTTTTGTGTCTTTCGTGTGAAGCCATGATGACCTTTCTTTTAACGCAGTTTTTCTTTGTCCGTTTTGTTTCAGGTGAGAAAAAACATAATAAAAAGCACCGTAAAAGCGTTTGGTCGCATAGACGTGCTCGTAGCGAACGCCGCCTCTCTTGGGTACACTGATGGATTTCTGTCCGAAACGGAAGAGTCCTTCGATTTAATGATGAACTCCATTCTGAAGTCTTCGTTTTTCATCATCCAAGAAGCCATACCAGAATTAGAGAAGTCGAAAGGCAATGTGGTCATCATATCTTCGATCGGCAGCACGACTCCTACTGGTAGAATGATTCTGTACGCCATGGCAAAGTCCGGAGTGGATCACATGACTCGCTGTCTGGCAGTCTCCCTGGGTCCGAAAAGTAAGTGGGAAGCTTTGAGGATAGAGTAGTTGGAAGGACTTCCGTAACGAGCGACCACTCCAACAAACACAATAAAGAAAGGACCTATCCCTACCCCTACCCCTACCCCTACCTCTACTCCTAACGCGTGTACTTCTATGGGTCGTAGTGTGTGTGTGTGTGTGTGTGTGTGTGTGTGTGTGTGTGTTTGCGAGTATTTGTGTGTTTGTTTGTCTATTTGTTTGTGTGAGAGGTGTGATGTGAGATGTTTGGATGTGTGTGGGTGCGTGTGGGAAGGGGGAGGGAGTTTGTTTTTGAAAATACGGGTCTATCGTGTCCGACTCTCATACTTTGTATCTTTTGAAGAGACAATTAACTACATTTTAATTTAGTGTTGGGGATGAGCAAGATTGAAAGACCGAGACAAACAGAGCAGCAATAAAGAAATTTAATGTGCCTGTAAATGCCTTCTAACCATTCATAGCCTCTCAGGTCAGAGTGCGAGCTTCCCTTACTTGTCCGGGTAAAAATATAGCTGGTGGATATCTTAGTGGTCTAAAAAAATGAGGGAGGGTTGGGATTTGGGGGGGGGGGGGCTTCTCATATCTTTTAACCCTGGGCTCTTTCAGGAACTTAGAATAGCCTGGCGATGTTTGGTTTGAAAAATAGTGTATCGACGAGATACCAACCATCAGGTGTCTGAAAAAATCCCGAGAAAGATAGACAGAGAGAGAGAGAGAGACAGATAAGACAATCAGGCTGACAGATAAGACAGACAGACATATAGACAGACTGATAAAACAGAGACATTGCAAAGAAATCAGGCCTGCTCATGGCACCCTTGAACTAACTGTTTAATGCGATGATCATCATCCAGTGCCAGATCTGCGACCGACATCGGCGATTATGGTTCTCCATTCATTACTTGGCTCGGATGATCTAAAAAAAAAAGCTACGTTTTCCTGGTCATTCCCTGTTACCCATTTGTTTAGGTTCCCTAAGCATGTTGTTCTGGGCCTACCCTTGCCTCGCTTGCCCTCAATTTTGCCAGTGAGAGCTTGATGTTCAAGACCCTTATGTCTATTTATGTGTCCCAAAAACTACATTTGTCGTTTCCTGATTGTTTATAACATTGAGCGTCTCATGTGGGCTTCATCAAGCACTACCTCATTTGATTTCTTTTCCTTCGACGATACTCTTGCAGTCTCCAAATTAACCACATTTCTGTTGCTTCTATTTTCTTTTCTTTAGTGACTGTCCAGCATGCACAGTCATATAGAAGGGTTGACCAGACACAGCATTTCAGAACTTTCATTTTGGTGTTCATGGGGATGTTTCTATTTTTAAGGATTGGGCTCATTTTATTGAATCAAGCCTTAGCCATTGTAACTTTCTGTTTTATTTATGTGGAACATTTGGCATCAGATGTTATCATATATCCAAGATAGTTAAACTGTTGGACTTGTTTGATCTTTTCACCCTTGCTAATGAGATTACAACTAGGCTTTGCTGCTTTTTAAAATATTACTATGCATTCTATTTTCTTAACATTCAACAATAATCCTTTACGTTCACTTTCTGTTACAACAGTATCTAGAAGCAACTGAATGTCTTTTTCTGAGCCTGCTATTAAAACTGTGTCATCTGCATACCTGATGTTATTAATCTTTTCTCCATTTACTTTGAGACCTGGACATTCTTCTATGTTTGTAAAGATTGTTTCACTGTACATGTTAAAGAGGTCTGGTGACGTAACACATCCTCGCCTCACTCCTCGCCTAATCTGCTTATATTCAGTGTATTCTCCATTAATTCGTACAGCAGCGTAATGCGATGATGCATCTGTTATTTTCCCCCACCAGGTGTGTGAGGGTTGGTGGGTTGGAGCCTTGTTGGAGGTAGGGGTACGGGGTGGGGGGGGGGTGTAATTTCGTTGTTGAAAGTTTTGCACTGTCTATACAAGTATGCCCAGGTAAATGCCTACTGTAATCTATACCAAAAAACGAATGTTGCAAAGGAATAGATAGATAGATAGATAGATAGATAGATAGATAGATAGATAGATAGATAGATAGATAGATAGATAGATAGATAGATAGATAGATAGATAGATAGATAGATAGATAGATAGATAGATAGATAGATAGATTCACTGTTTGCAGAATTGGTCGCTGTGATTTTTCATTTATTCAACCACCTCATTTTTTCCCAACTTTAAACCACAGTAAAGTTAGGTTTATCACTACGAAAGGATACAAATTGCGAATCTATATCTTCCCTAAACTTGTATGATATCTACCCATATATCTACCCACAGACATCCGCGTTAACGCCACCAACCCTTCTATTGTCAACTCGAATGCGTACAGAGACTGGGATAAGAAGCTGGGCATGAACTTCATGGAAGCATCTGAGAAGATTCACGGTCCTCAACACCCGCTGGAAAAGCGTTGTTCCACTGCCAGGGAACAGGCTAACGTCGTGGCCTTTTTGGCTAGCAAAGACGCCAATTTTGTCACGGGGCAGTGTTTAAAGGTTGACGGGGCGTACTCTCTCTACAAGGGCACGTGAAAGGGGCATACTCATAGACAACGTGAGGGAAGTAGAGATAAATATTACATGTATAAATCAGAGACTGAAATTAATTTCTTTCTGAAGGAAGGAATATGAATGTTTTTTTGATGTACAGATGCCCTATATAATAAAATAAAGATAACAGACATACTTTTGTTTCTCATTTCACTTTTTGAAAACCCATTTTCTTGCTGATCTGTTCATTGACAGTTTTAGCACCCTCTGGATTCTAAGGATTTTTAAAAAGCAGGATGTTAAACAACAAGAGCAGCAACAGCAACAGCAACAACAGCAATAACAACAACAGCAACAATAACAATAACAGCAACAACAACAGTAACATCAACAACAAGACCAACAACAACAACAACAACAACAACGACAACAGCAACAGCAACAGCAACAATAACAATAACATCAACAACAACATTAACATCAACAACAAGACCACCATCACCAACAACAACAGCAACAGATGTAACAACAACAACCACAACTCATACACCCCCGCAATCTCCATTACCATGATCAACTGAAGTACAATAACAATATCTGAGAGATTAAGAATGGTAAAAAATGGCGGATGGCAGAGTCCTCCACTAAGCAGTCAATATACAGTGGAACTCGGTATCAGCGAACTCGGATTCCACGAAGGGAATTGGATTCTCCGGTTTTTTATATTCATAAAAAAATCAATAAAAAATAACTAGGATTCAACGAACACCCCATAAATGAGTTAACACAGATTTGACGAGGCCGCTTGCCAGATGAACTGGCTCATGATACCAATTACCGGCCTACTTTCATACCAAAAACACGTGTTATTAACACTCGAACATGTCTTAGCGCATATAGGGGTCGGATGGGCCACCAGAACACATGTGACTGTGGGTGAGAGTGTCTGAGAGGTTGGGGGGAGGGAGCACAAGCGGCCTAGGAGTAGAAGTTCAGTAGAGATACAAAGGCGTCACAGTTATATTATACCCCGCCTACTGATCAATATTGCAATGCTCAAATAGTCTTGACATAGATCTGCGTAATGAACTGCGCGCTGAACTACGGAATCAAAAGTTGCCGTACGCTAGGCTCTACGCAGCAACATAACTTGTTTGATAAACAATACGTTATAGATGATAGATGGCACAGGCATGCATTTGAACGAATCGACCCTTTTGTACAGTGTGTGCTTTGTAGAATTTAGTGTATTTTCCTAGAATTTTCGAGCATTTAATTTCTTCGGTATCAAAGAAACGAAAGTGCCTCTCATTTGAAACCAAACTACTTTTGATCGAGAGAGTCGAATACATTAAACATTACTTGCTCGGTTCCTATGATTATATAGACAAAAACCATATATTTGCAATAAGGAACACTCGGATTCAACGAAATTGAAGGTCAGGCCCAACGACTTCGTTGAGTCTGAGTTCCACTGTATTATGCTTTTGCTTTGCAGTGTCACCGTTCATAACTTTCATATTATATGAAGCGTTGTTGGTGGTGGAAACAATCCGAGAAGGAGATAAAAACACACATATTACACGCAATAATGGCTATCCCTTGGAGATAACATTGCCTCCAAACTGGTAAAAAGCAAGAGAGCCAGAGAAAGGACGTTATAGATCCGGACACATGACATGACCACCTCTTACTTAATGAGAGAGATTACGGAGCATGATGGGCATCGTGCCAATAAAAATTACCGCCCCCCCCCCCAACCTCCACACACAGACACACAATAATACGGATTGCACGCCATTTGTTATATAACACTCTGTACGTTTAGTTAGCAAAAAAAGTATTAAAAATTTTATATAAAAAAACCCAGAGTAACTAGACACCTCGAAATATTAATAATGAATAAGGAAACATGAAATTAGAGTCCCGCTGCGCGGATCTTTAATTCAGGATTCAGGACCGTTCTGCCTCATTGCATTTTCTCAGACGATAAGTAATATTCATGCCCCATGATTATTTATGACTGATAAAAAGCCAGTTTTTACAATGTATTAACTGATCTTTCAGAGCAAACAATTTGTTCAGCCTAAAAAAATAACCCGCGGGAGAGATACAAAAAGTATATATGGATAATCAAGTAAACTGGGCAAAATCTGTCTGTCTGTCTGTCTGTCTGTCTATCTGTCTGTCTGTCTGTCTGTCTGTCTGTCTGTCTGTCTGTCTGTCTGTCTATCTGTGAGGATGTGTGAGTGTGTGTGTGAGTACGTGTGTGTATGTGTGTCTCTGTGTGTGTGTGTGTGTGTGTGATATATAATATACAT